TTGTCTCCTCCTTAATAGCAGAGCAGCCAGAAGCTGCCTGAAAAAAAGAAACCGAAAGGGAGTGCGAGAGATCTAAGAAACACAGAGCTTGCAGTGAAACAAGCTGAACTGATTTACTGATGGTGCTCAGGAAGGGAACAACAAATACATAAGTCTTTAGCACTGGACTCCAAACAACATCGAAAACAATCAGAAGGCTTTAATTGCACTTCAAAATCTGCAGTCATGTTGTCAAATGGTGTTTAACCTCGGCTGTTATCTTGGCACAGATAAGATGGGCTGTGTGGTCATCAGTTCAAGCCTGTACACTTACACTCCCCCAGAAATTACCAGAGAAGGCTGGGCAAACAAAAGGCTGCCCTGCACACTGCAGGAGGCCAGCACACAGCTCTGGCAGCACTGGAGGAGGGCTGGGTATTCACAGCCAAGCCAATGGCTGCACTGTTCCTCTAATTAAAATGGTAAGATGTTCAAAGAGACATTTCCTTAAGCATCGTAATAACAGTTATGTTTAGAAGTGCTGAGATGTCACCCAAATGTCACCACTGATGGTACGTTTCCAGCTTTCAGGTACAACATCTACCCTCGTCTGAACTGTTTCCTCTCTCATTGCATCTCAGCCTCCTCAGTCTGCAGAAGAACAGCACAGCTGTAGCCTGTGGGCAGTGCTCCTCACCAACCCCAACACACAGCAGTGCCTGTAATGACAATCTGAGACCAGCACTGAAGGCATAGGTTGCCCAGCCCCATGGCAGCAAAACAGCAATGGGACAGTGCTCCTGGGTGACCCATCCAGTGCTTGGGTCAATCCCAGAGAAGGCAGACTGGGTATTTCTCCTCTGAGAGAGCAGCAATGCACTGGCACACACTGCCCAGATTATTGAGGAGTCACCATCCCTGGAGGTGTTCCAGAACCACAGGGATGTGGCACTGATGGACGTGGTTGGTGGGCACAGCGGGGACGAGCTGGGGTTGAGCTTGGGGATCTCAGAGGTCTTTTCCAACCTTAAATGATTCTGTGATTCTAAAGCATAAAAGCAGCATGAGCACTGTCCCTCAGTACCCTGCTGACCCTTGTGGCACACAAGGCTTTATGGCATTGGCCCACTGTGAGGCAAAAGCATTCCCTGCTTTTCCCCACACCAACAGGTTGGTAGCCCAAGGAGTGGGAATGCCTTGTTCTACGGCAACCCCTCACACAGCTACACTGGTGGGAATGGTGAGAGCAAAGGAAAACATCCATCATCTTATGAATATGCAAAAATAGGGCCCTTATGTACCCTCCCCAGAGCTGCTCTAAACGAGGGCTCTGGGAGAACTGAGCTCCCCGTTGCAACAAGCTGCCTGAATGCCACCAATCACCAGAGCTGACTGCTCACATCACTTAATACACCCTACACTTGGGAGACATATCCATGTGTGAGGATAATAGCTACCCGGTCCTTTTTTAATTAAAAAATGAATATTGATACGAACTGCAGCAGCTGCTTTATTTTTAATAACATTTTCCGTGATGGTGCTGCTTAAAGAAGAGGACAGACAGAATAATTAACCAGCACATTAAGCCAGTATTTTTCTATTATTCTTCTAAGGTTATGCTGAAGTATCTAGAAGTGCTAAATTAAGCAGCAAATTACAGGAAACGGGGCTGGAGAAAACAAAAATAACTTCCTACAATTCAAGTTTAGAATTTGCTCCTTTCTTTTCCTCGAATAAAAAACGTATTGCTGCTCGAATTGCAACTGGGTGTTAGAATGACAACAACGTGTCACTGGGTGCTTTCGTTTGGACAGCAATACACAGTAACAGGAAAGAAGTACACAACAACTAGTAGATACTGCAGTGAAAAGCCCTGCTCGTTTGGGTTCATGCAGCCACCTGGGACCATCGCGAGTTGCCGTGGCAACCTCAGCCCGAACAATTATGGAGCAGCCACAATTATCCTCAATGTGCCTGCTGAGAACCCAGTTCAGCCTGGAGATGGCCACCAATAGTGCCATTCTGGGGAGAAAATCCACACCCAAAGTCTAAAGCCCAATGAAAAGCAGTGACAGATTTCACCCTGCCTCCCCTTCCTACAGCAGAATATTTTTGTCTCTAAGTATTAATAATGATGTATCATCTGTAGATCACTAAAATGGATCACAGTGCAAAGGGAATGAGGAGTTGATTCATAACTTTTAGTGATAGGTGAGATCCAAAAATAAGTCTGTTATTTGAAAAACAGAAAAAACTGCACCTATGCATAGCATACCTCAACCTCAGTATACTGTACTGCTTCATCTGGACAATATCTAGATAGCATACAGAAAGAAAATCCTTGCAGTAATAACTAAAAAGATGAGGTCACTGTATGATTCCATTAATGAAATCATTGTCTTCCTCAATTCTCCTTTTCTGAACTTGGTCTCATTTGTTCAGCAGAACCAAGAGCTAAGGGCTATTTATCAGCTGCTTTAGACCTGGTAGGATGGGCCACACAGAAACTCCTTTTCTTTCCCTTTCAATTACAAAAGCAAGTGAATGGAATGCTTTGAGCATTTTTCTTATTATTGGTATTATTGTTAATCTTGTATAGCTGTTTCATGGTAGATTTACACAGAATAAATGACTACATGTCAGGAGGTCAGGGAGGAAGCAGACCAATGTGTGCCTACAGCAGGAACTCTGGGCTGCTAAAGTGGGTTCAGAAGGGTGTGATGGGATTGTGTCAACAGCCCAATCTTAAGGTTCTCCATTACTCATTTGAAATATTTTGTATTAAGAATGAGGTACTTCCACAGAAACTGTTGTGATTTTGTACTCAAAACTACATCAGTGTCATTTGGCTATCAATCACACTGCCTCATGCTGAATAATGGACCAAGCACTGCAGATGGGGACTTGGATTAGCAAGCATTCTGAAATGACTCTTCTCTCCGAACTGGTAAATATGAAGATAGCTCTGTGTGACCTCTCTTGATCTATGGGTATTTTTCATCTTCCTGCCAACACCCAGCAATATGGCTGCCAAGAGCTTTCCTGCAAAGGTTCAGAACTGATCTCAGAGGAAATGCCACGAGATCACAAACAGAACTTCTCAGTGCCATCTACTTGTTCCTTAGCATAGGGTACTTAAAATAAAGTGACGATGTAAGCCAAGATAATTTCTTAATGATAAGAAAAATAACATAGAAGAGCCAGCACCACTTATGCACCGTATCAGAATAGCTAGTAAGTTAAATACCACCATTCAGACATCCAGGCTGTTACTTTTTAAAAGCTATGACAGTAATTCCCCCTGAAAACAACTAAGAGCATTACTAGGGGGGGTGCTGCTCACAGCAACAGACTTTGAGAAAGCAGTGAAACTAAAATCCTTTCACTATGCAATACCACGTTATGTAGCGTTGGCCCAGCTATAACTACAATTTTGTTGAGCTACAGATGTTCACAAACAGCAGCATTAGGGTTAAAACCTGCTTATTATGCAGCTCTAGCATGGAGAAAGACACCGTGTTTGCTGCAAACCCATTCCCTTTCCCTGATTAATGCAGACCACTAAAATGTCCTCAACCTTGCTGCCTTCAGAACAGAGAAAGCCTCAAATGCACAGTGCTGGAACTGGACTAATTAGACTTTGAGACAGACTAATTATTTCTGAGACAGAGCTGACCCCATGTGAAGCTGCTGTTCCTGGGAGCCAGGCTGGCAGTTTTGCACGTTGCAATCTCTCAGGGTTTCTACACCAGTTCTCTGCAGAACGTAGATCAACCCTGACTATTCATGCTGCAACCAGTGTGTGCATAGAAGGCTCAAGTGAAAAAATAAAAGACTGTAAACACAAGATGCAAACACAACACAAATATTAACTGACATTTTACAACAGAAAATTTTAGTGACTCGTCTTTGTGCTGTTCTTGTCCCAAGAAAAAAATAGGTAATTTTATACCTCTACCACTAAAATCCATGTCCACCCTGTTCCAGGCTCTGTATAATGCACAGAGCCATAGAAGTGGTGAAACAAATTACTTTTGAAGTTATTCTTTCTAAGGAGGGTCAGAGGTAAATATGATTTTGAATAGAAAATAACCTAAAAATAAAATCACACCGGTCAGATCACAACTGTAATGAAAGGAAAATGAAATGAAGGTTAAAGTACTTCTCAAATGTAAAGCAAAAATCATAGTTCATGCTGCAGACAAAAGTATGTTAGCTGATCCAAATGTGTTCAGAAGAAATTGAAGCACCTTTTCTTTGATTTTCTTGAAAGCTGAACAAGTGCCGTTTTTCCTCACTCTCTTGGGTTAACCCATCTTTATAACAACAATGTAGAATTCTGCCTGATGGTGAACATAAAAAATGGCCATTTCAGGTTGAAAGCAACAGGCTTAAGCGTTTGTTTAAGCACAAAAGGTACATGAATTACTTTCTGGATAAACTGCTAGGCTAAGGTTGGAAATGTCTGACTAGAAACAAAAGAAATCGCTATTAACTGGAATTTTAATTTTAATTACTGGAATATTTAAATTCATAATGGCATATTCAGCAGATCAGACCAGCTGAATCAAGTACAACCATCAGCAAAACAATTCCATCCTCAAAACATGCCCTTCGTCTCCTTGGGTTGAATGGACAGCAAATATTTTGCAGTGATATTACTGCAGATGTCAGAAGAGCCAGGTTATGCCTGTTACTTAGGAAACAACTCCTTTGCATGGCACAGTGAGGCCATGCTTGTGGCCAACCAACCACTCCACTGTGTGTGGCAAAGGGCAGGAGGACAACCATAACAGAGGAGCAGAACAGCCAGATCGATGCTGAAATACTGCTGAAATAATCCCCTCAGTGCAACCTTCAGGAAACCCAAAGGTCATACTGCTGACACAAGCAACAGAAGCTAGATTCTATGATACTAATAACATTAAAACTGTTAACAGTTTGGGCCTTGTTTTTTTTTTTGTTTTTGTTTTTGTAAGGTTAAAAAATAAATGCAATACAGAGGTAGCTTTAATCCTCACCTCAAACTTCTGCCGCAGCTCTGCATTTCCATCTTCATCAGCATCTGGAATTGGAACATTATAATATTCGCCTTCTTCTTGATTCAGCAGCTTGTACCTGTGGAACATTTGAGAAAAAAAAAGGGTGTTTTTGTACTTCTGCTCCTTTCAGATATAAAATCTGAGTTACGTCTGTTTGTGTCTGGTTTGTATCAATGCCACTTGTATGTAAAGAACAACATTCTGAGTTCTAAAGGAGATACAGAAACAGAATATATTTCAAATAAAATTGTATCTTTAATGGCAAACCATGTGTCAAATGAAGACAAGGACTTCATCCCAATCATCTTGCGACATGGTGTAAGAAATCAACCCTGAAAAGACTCCAATGCTTTTATAGCCCTAAATCATCCCCTCCAACAAGTGATACTCTCTGAGAAGGTCTGGTAGTTGAGTTCTGGTTGAGGTCTGGTCTTGAGTTCTACCCGTGGTTTGGCACGTAATAAGATGGCATTATATAAAACCTATTCAGATGTACTTTAACTTGCTATACATAGCTGATATGCTTCATAATGAGTATATCATATTTGAGATAAAAATAAAATGTGTATCACAAGGCCATGAGTTTGCAGCAACTCCTGGTTCCAGCAGAAGCTTCATGAACATAACAAAAGGAAAGCTTCCTTTAATTATCCTCCTTTGCTATCTATAGCCCATGTTTCCCACTTTTAGTTGTATTTCCAGTGAATAAGAGATACAGTAATCAGGCTGCAGAAAAATACTATTTTAAAACTCTTTTCAGAAACTCTTACCATCCACTGGCTGGCATTTTCATGAGCTCTGACACCCCAAATGAAAGAGAGCCCATGAAATCATTCCTGGTTGTTCGATCCCAGTCCCAGACTTCTACAGAGAGCCGTCGGTCTTTATCTGTAGGTTTTAATTTACTGAAAAGGAGAGAAATAGCATTCTGAATGCAAAACTCAAATAGATGATTCAACACATAAGAAATTACATTAAAAGGGGTTAAACTTACAACGTGAATGACTCATTCCAGTGTGGATTCAGGGTAGAACGGAAGGTTTTTGTTTTTTGTTTACTTTCATTCTTGGGATCTGGGATAAGTTTCAGTTTAACATAAGGATCTGAAAGCCCATTTGGATCCATGGGAATGAGGTTTTTTGCTTCTCGCACTGTCAATATAAAACAAAGGGCTGATTTGCATGGGGTTAAAAATCACTGTTAACAATATAGTAACAAGTCAAACCAAATCGAAAGAAGTACGTTGAAAGGTAACACAAATAAGATGAAAAACTCGTGTGGTCAGACTTGGCATGGAAGAAAATAGTAAAGTAAGGTTGCACTTGATGGCATTTGTAAGGCTAGTAGAGAGAAGTGACAGGAGATGAGAGCCAGCCTAAATGGAATGAAGCAGCTCCTGGGCAGCTCTTTCCTGGAATGGAATGATTAAATATCCGAGCTCATCTCTATACATTTCTAAGCAGGGAGCATTTCTGTTTGCTTTATTTACTCATCAATCTTAGGTTCCACAACTATCAGACGAATGCTGTAAGGCTGATAGTTGGATCAGAACAGATTTCCAAGAAGGGCTGCTTTATACAACATGTTATTGGTACTAAACTTCCCTTGGATTCACTGCTCATTAGCTGTCAGCTGGAATCACTGTGAGAGTTGTCATGAGATGGCACCCAAAGTAAAAGCAGGGGAAGACGAGTTTTGCCTTCACAAAAATGGTATTTTCATATACAATTTTCATATTTATCTATTTTCACAATGGCAGAAGAGAGCACAAAGTGAGTTCATAGCCCTCATGATGCTACTGATGCCCAGAGACAAGGATGGCCAGTAACCTGCCTGTGGGATATTCCCCACATGGCCACATCTCTGTGCAGAACAAGGAGCAGAGGCAATGGTGGGCCTTTATCAATGGCTCAGCAGCATTTGGGGCTCTGGCTGAGGTTGCTGCCACAGCTGTGGGGCTTCACAGGGCAGCTCAGAAGTCACTGCAGATGAGTGGAGCATCACAATGCATGAGCAAGGCAGCACTTCCCTCCATCTTGCAGAAGACCAGCATGACGCTCACACCACATTTATATGCACGGTGTGTAAGGTTTTATTATGTGTCAATGGCATTCTGCCATCAGCTTCTGCAGAAGTTCACAAACAGGCTGGATTTCAGGCATTGTGAAACGCCGTCCCACCCAAACCAGTCGGGCTGACAAGGATCGGTGTCTGTCTGTGCTGCTGAGCATGGGAAAAACCACTGACTGCATGTGTGAGGCTGCTCCTCTTCTGTAGGAGACACAGAATAAGGAAAAAGGCCTTTAAGCTCAAAAAGAAGTGCAGCTCAAAGATGCACTTGGAAAGAGAGATGCAACATACACTAAATACAGGCTGCTGAAGTAGTCATGATCTCGCTCCTTACTTGGGCCATTTGTATTTTTGTGTAATTAGCACCCTCAGACATCTAGTTCCAACTGGTAGCACTTTTTCTTGAGGAAATGGCACGATGATATTTGCTAAATATAATTTATAAGGAATTAATGTCATGATGGTTGGTCCAACCCTTTGAGAGCATCCTACTCTTACCAAGACAAGTCCACAAGAGGGATGGCAGGAAGCAGAGCCCTCTTACTATCACAGATGCTCTCTCATGTGTGGCTGAAACAAAATTAAATGAAAAATAACTCCAAGAAAATAACTGAACCGAGGCTGAATCACAGCAGAAAATTCTGCTGTATCTCCAAGGAAAACAAGCAAACTCTTGTTGCTTTACAATTATTGGTTAATTAAACTCAGCACCAAGAGGAACTTGGAAGAAACACAGAATACTAGCTGCCAGTTTTCTGAGCATGATGATGATCTCTGCACTGAGCAAGGTAGCTGATACGAGTTAAATCCCTAATGGCCTGTCCAGATTAGATTCTTCAACTGGGACTGAGAACACACACAAACAAACAGGGAGTGAAGAGAAGCATATGCTCAAGTTTCCAACAAAGCAAGTGTGCCTGTGTTGTCACCATGCCACAAGGAAAAGGGACCACCTTCCTCCTTATCGTTAATGAAGAAGAGATCATAAGTGCCCAGTCAGCAGAAAATATGGGCTGTTTGATGACTCTCCCATTCGACGATGTGTCTCTGCTATCACAGTGGTGCCTCCAGAAGCTGTGCCTAAAATTGGGATATTCAGGTTTCCAGTAGTGTAAAGACATAAGCAAACACAGAGCTGGTTCTTAGGTACTCATACTTTAAATAAATATCTAAAGAAGACAGAGTGGGATGGCAGAAAACAGTCACTCTGTGTGACGAGAGAAATTCAGGCAGCATTTCAGAGTTTGGATGACAACATGTGAACTTTTTTCATGGAATGTATGGGTCAAACATCACAAACAATACACAGTTATGGATTTATAACTTCTTGTGGCGTCAGCAAATAGATTTAGCCACAGGAATGAGCAAAGAAATGCTTCTGTCCCTAAAACAAAGCAGAGCTATTTGCAGCACAAGTTCACTCAGTTCCTTTTAATGAGTCACAACTACCTTTTCCTTGAATTTTCAAATGTTGATGATAAAATGATTTACTAATCACAGCAACTGTTGCTTGCCAATCTCTTGCTCCCTACAGGCTTCTTAGAGGAGTAGAAATCTCCCAGTGAATGCAAATAGATGCTTTTGAAAGAGGTCTTGAGTCTCCAACAGTCCTGCCTGGGAAGCTCTCCAATGAAGCAGAAGAGGGAGAACACTGCTAGCTCAGACTTCCGACTTCCAGCATTAAAACTCTAGAGAATTACAATTACAGGTGTACAACTGAATCTCCTCACATCCTGCTGTTCAGACCATTTCCACACAGTGCTTGGCCACTGAAAGGGCTTCTCAATATGAGATTTCTCTTTTGCATAACCATACCCCTGCTGATTTTCCTATGTACCTCTCCTGAGACCCCTGCCTGCTCTTTACTCCCAGTTTCCTGACTCCCATAGATGCCACAATAATGAATGTAGGCTGCAGGGATGCCTGCGTTTCACAGGTGACTTACACACAAGAAATGGATAAGGAATTAATTTCCTCCTGAGAACAAGATGAAAAATGAACTGGTGTTCCATCATGCTTCATTCCTCTGTCTTTTATTAAGACTAATAAAAGGGTACCATCAACTCTAATGCTACTTAATAAGACCTGCAGTAAGTTCTCTGCTTTCATTTCCAGCTGGAAACCTCACAGGGGCATCTGTGCTTTATGTTTAAAATCAGATTACCTCTATAAAAATTACCTTCATAAAAGAATCCGAGTACTGGGCAGTATAACTACATAATAAAACACAAGCCTTAACACAAACACTGACTACTGCTATATCAAATTGTCTGAAAAGGGGTTGATTATTAAATTTCTAATATTGATGTGTTCAAATTCTTATGCAAATACATAGCATTTTAGGGTGTTTTTTTTATATATGCATGCAGATGGCTATCTATGAACAACAAATGTTTCTTTTCCATACTGTGCATTTACTGTTTTTTCACAGTAAAGAAAATTTAATGACTGAAATGGCAAATACTCATTTGCTACAGGGGTTGGCATTTATGAAAGGCACTGCCCTGTGTGCAAGCAGCACAGCAACCCTGCAGGTTCAGGGAATACCAGAGAACACAGAAGGTATTGGTGAGATAAAACACGCCATTCTTATTTGAGTTATTAAAAATGCCTCCCACACACAAGCAGTTATTTAGGATCACTTTATAGGGACTTCACATAACAGCTGATAACTCTCCTGAACACTCACGTGTCTTCCTTTTAAAATCAGCTGCAGAATGTTACAAAATTAATGCTAACAAAGAAAGACACTGTTAATAACCTAGGCAAACACAGATGAAATTAGGAGAGTGTGTGTGGAGGAGTCTTTCAAGGAAACAACTGGTGGACTTCCAGTGATTTGCAGCAGCTCTCCAGTTCTCCTCTTTGGGCAGAGGCTGCTCAGCCAGGTCTCCATGGCAAGCAGCATGATGGACATTAATATGCAGTGCCATAGAGTAGCTCAGCATCAGGCATTCATAAATAATTTGAAATACGTACAGCAGGGAGTGCAGAACTCCTGGGGAGGTGATAGCAGGAGCCAGCTCTGCGCTCCCAGCCTCCAGAAAGAACGGCCAGGTTTCCTCTTTTAAATCACAGAAGCATCACAGAAGAATAAAACCACATTTTCTGTATTCTTTCAGCTCTGAAAATTACACTTAGGAACCTGGGAGCTCTGGGCTGTGTGTATATACACATATTTTAGTAACACTGATAACAGTGGGGTGCCATGGCTGGCAGCATCGTGGCACCCTGCCCTCAGCAGCACCTGCAGCTCACTGCTGCTGGGAGGGCAGCTGCTGTCAGACCCAGCTCCTGGGATCCCAACAGTGTGGTGGCTTTTTATATGTCACTGCACCAGATGGGGTTATTTTCTCACAGAGGTTATTGTTTGCTCGCTATAAAAATAATTCAGAAATAAAATAAAGATCAAAACGGTGATTCAGCCACCTGCAAAACTGCTCAGAAGGAACCCGGGTTACATGATGGGTTGGCAAGTAAGCGTAAGGGTGACAAAACTTGTAGCACACACCAGGAAGGGGAAATTTCGATGCAAAATGACAGAGATTAAGAGCAGCAGAAACAGCTTCGCTATGCCTAAAAGCAAAATCCCAACAGTCCATTCTATGGAAGGGTCACAAATTCAGCAATGTCAAAAAAAACGCAATTAAGAGAGTTCTTACAACCAGTTGATTTACAGCGACTGCAATAACGTATTAATATCCAAAGCCAACTCTCAAGGTAGTAGGTATAAAATGAACTGCTGATATTTAAGAACTGCCACATAAATGAACACTGAAAATGGCACTGGGGAGGTGGTGAGATTTTGTCAGAGGACATCAATACAAAACTCCCACTCCTAGTCTGTAGCACTCATGCAGAAAGGACTGCCTGTCCACCTTTAGGCTCCTACACCAAAGATCTGAAGTGCACTGGAAGTTCACATGGAGGCACGCTAGCATTAAATATATTTATGTATGGGACTGAATCATTTCCAGGATCAATTGAATTCAAAACTTGCCCGAGTGTTCTGATATTTTAGATAATCCGGCTGAACTACTGGGCAGCTCCAGCTGGCCTCTTTCCTAATACTCAACGGGTAAAAAAACCCCAACGTTATTTACCCCATTTTATTGTGAAAACACTCAGTAAGCATGCATGTACTGTGGCCCTTTTCGGAAAGAAAAGCCACTGCAACACCTTCTGAGCTGTTACACAGAAGCAAACACCACTTGCTATGCACCAAGCAGTGACTTCCCCCAGGGCACAGAGCTCTCCATCGCCGTTCAGTGCATGGAACCCTCCTTCCTCCCAGCAAGGAAGCGGAGCCGCCCACAGAAGGAACTGCAAGATGCCCACCGGAGTGCCACGTCTGCAGCGAACAGCATGACTGTTCTGCAGGCAGTCAAGGCTGGCTACAGGAACACGAGCTCAGCAGGAACCAATTAACAGGCAAAACAGGATGCAGAGCAGAGAGATTAAGGAATTCAGCTGAAGGAGTTCAACACCTACGGAGACATTCTTTTGAAGAAGAATCCAGCAAAGGCTCAAACCCAAGAGCAGTTCCTGTACATCCTGGACTTTTGATCCAGCCCCTTCCTGAATCTAAAGGCAGCTCTGGGATCTGCAGACTTTTTTGCCAGTAAAGACGCTGTAGTAGGAGACACATTGAGTTAGAAATTTGGGGTTAGCAGTGTTCATGAACCAACTGAGAACCATTAATTTGTCTTGTGTTGAATATGCACAAAAGCTTCAGCTTGTCTGACCACAGCATACATAAGTACATTTGTATGGTATCATATATAAATTAAAAAAAAAAAAGAAAGGCGTACTTTCAGGGAAATCCATTTATACTTCCAGAAATTTTTGGAAACCTTGGAAATGCCTAGGAATGTAACGTAGAGAACATAGCTTCAAGCATATGAACATAACACAGAGAACACAGCCCCAGTCATAAGAACAGAACAGCACCTTAATGAGCTTATTATAACAAGGTTGTCGTAAAAATTCTTCTTCATGTCCAGAAACCTTCTTAAATTTTGGATGGAAGTATTTTATCTACAAGCACACAAATAAAAGCATTTGCCAAGTGCACTCACACCAAAAAGTGGAAGCACCTTTCTCCTAAGGACAGCATCTTGGACAAGTTCACCTCTCCTACACAACAGGAAACTATCTGAAATGTTAACTACAGTTAAGTACTACTTGGGATCTATTCTAATCCTTTCTAACTAAATTTGATCATGCCTCTCTTTTTCAATGCTTTTTACAAGGTTTGACAGAAGAATCTGGAGTTATTCAGATGCAGAGATAACAAAAGCATGAACAGTGACAGAAGGGAAGTTCAATGCTTCTGTGAGCTGTGAAAATCAAACGTGATGGCCTGATTTCCTTTATGCTGACTACAAGGAATATGGTACCTTTTGTGATTCATTCCCCAAATAAGAAGTGTGGAGCTAGAAAGAACATCTCTCTGGTGTAGAGAAGAGAGCCATTCAATTGGAAGGGACCTGCAGATATCATCAGTCCGACTGCCTGACCACTTCAGGGCTAACCAAAGGTTGGGCTCTGAGCGCAAGAAATCAGCAATGCTGACACAATGGAACAATGCTCAACATCCACAGATTGCCAACAACCACATCAAGGAGTAAAGACAGAAAAGCAGATGCTTTGGGAAACCTTCTACTTTGTTCTGCCATAATTTTGGCCTTGAATTTTCAACACCAAACAGGCCATGACAACAACAGTGTTCTCAGTTCCTGCTTCAGTGTGTGGACTTTGTGAATTCAGCTGCTCACAAAACCAATTTCCAAGATGTATTTGTGTGCGTGTAGTAAGCATTACAGTGTGTTAAGACACACTGCTGAAGAAGCAGTGTTGGTCACCTGCCATGACACGATAGCTCATCCCTTATTTTGTTTTTGATAACTTCAGTGTGCCTTTAATTCCTGAAAGAGAATTCTGAGTCAAAAGAACTTCTACTTTCATCTTGAATTTATATTAAACAGACTTGGTTTGAACTAATTCCCTTACATCAATTTCAATTTACATCATCTAATTCCCATCTGTGCTCTCCCTCTGAATAAAGACTTTGCAGCCCAATGGATAAAGAACAGTATTAGTGTCCAACAGAAAGGAAAAACCAACAGTAAAGTTCACTACCAGCTTTGCACTTGAGATATTAGAGCCAATTATCAGCTGACCTCAATTAAACAGAAAGCAAGCACTGTAAATACAACTTCTGAAGCGGATCCTGAGTGATAAACTCTGCTCCCTGATAATGCAGCAAGGAAGTTTTGCTTGAGGTAAGCAGCACATCTATGTAGGGGGACAAAATGGTCCCTCAACTTGCAAAATACATTTTCCGTATGTTTTTCTGCAGCTTCAACTGGGAATGAGACAGGCTGTGTGGGTGAGAGGAACCAAAGCTTACTGATAGCCCTGGGAGAAGCACTCCCAAGAAAAGGAACTGCTGCCCTCTCCTTCCTTCCTTTCTCTCCCTTCTCCCTATCTTATTAACCTTAACCTCACAGAATATGATCTTTTTATTATTACTGCTTTATAATACATTGGGAGTAATATTTGGGATTGAGTCCAAGTTTCTTTGTTTACTAACTTCTCTGGAATACAGGAAATCCCTCCTTAACTGATGAAGTTAAGAGCATTTCTCATGTTCTGAAGATGATGGCTAGCTTCCTAAATGGTCAGCTATCCCACTGTGCTGCTTCCTACAAGGAAAACAGACATGACAGTCATTTTCTAATGAACATTTGAACATTCCTGATTTTTTTTAAAGCAGTTTTTCCATCTTTACATTTTCACTTTATTTTTTTAAGCGTGCGGATTCTTCAGAATGCCAGCTAATAGAGCATTTCTTGATTCAAAATGCTTCTGGATTCAAGGACGCAGTGAATGAAACCCTCATGCTTCCAAAAGGAAACACTCTGCCAAAGTGCCCAAAAGATGTTGACCAAAGCACATCAGCTCACAGTGAATACAACACCCTTAAAAATCCTGCCACGTTTCAAAACGAGTCGTTTACCTGTTACTTCCAGTTTGTCACCAGTGACTTCAGCCTTCAGATAAATCCTTCCCCTTTTCTCAGTGTGATCCATGCCACAGAGGCTCGGGACGTTTATCACACATTGCTTATGCACATTCATATCACACGCTGTGGATACAGAAGCGTTTCAGATAGCTGTGAGAAACTAATAATATGATTCCACAGCAAACACTGAGCAGAGTGAAAGTTAAGATTACTATGTCTAATTGCTGGCAACATTTGCAGATTACAGCCAAATGCTTTCTGACTGACCAACATGGCTAGTTTTCATCCTGCAATACATTTCGTGGACAGTGAATGAAACACTGAAGAAAATAATCCACTTCAGACACTTAAATATATTAATGAAGTGCAAGAAAAAAAGTAAAACCAGAATAAAGACCTTCTGGGAATATGCCTGAGAAAACAGAGCACTTCCGCCAGCAGCAGCCATGAAGGGATTTGGGTTTAAGTCATTAGAATTTGGTGCAGCAGCTTCCAAGACAAATGAAACACAAGGGAAATACTGGATCTTGGCTGCCACATGAACTGAAATGCCAGTTTTCAACTGCGTGTTCACCCACCCACTCCTGAAACAGGTTTCCTCAAAAGCAACAGCAAATGCACTCCTCTCGTATCAAAGTCCATGCAGCACTTTTGCAGCAACAGAAGAGGTTTTCATGAGATTATTATTATTCGACTGAAATATCCACTTGAAATACAACAGTCCTATAAATAGCTGACATTTGAAATGGTATTTTCCATTGAAAAGAAAAAGTTGTTATGAGGTGTTTCCACATGCTTTCAAAAGTACGGTTTGGTAACAAAGCAAAACTGAACTTACTGTCACATTTCATCCCTTGGTGTATGAGCCCATAAAGGAGGGACCCACAGTGGTCACAGAAGGTTGGGCTCCCATAGGTGTGGATCTTAAATTTGTGCTTGCTCCTGGGGTCCTACGGGATAGACAGAAAGATACACGAGTCATAGGAAATAAGATTGGAGCATCTTTAATGTAGCACTTCAAACACTGAAAATCCTCCAACTCTGCCAAAAAATATATACCATATCTTATTCATAACCCTTACAAGACTGTTGATATATTGGCCACAGTTTTAGTGCTCAGCTCTTATATTTCTTTTGCTTTGGTTTTGTCAGAAAGAATATGTCAGTTTAGCGAGCTGAGGCTTGTTCCTATGATTCATCTACACTAAAACTGCCATTTACTGACTGCACATAAACATAAAACACAATGATGGCATTCCTCCTGTGGCTGGACTGTCATCTGTCATCTGTTTATTTACAATCTATCATCACTGCTCTTCAATGACGACACAAAATACGGCAGAAGAGAAGCAGCAGTTTGTTAAGGGGCTAATCTGAAATGCAGTAAAATGACTGTAAAACCAGGATGTTTAAGATGGGATCATCTTGAAATGCTGCAAATTTATCACTTACATTATTGCAGATGAAAGAGAACAAATTCTAACTTGGCACATAGTAAATATTTTACAGAGACTGCTATTCCTGTCTGATTTTCCAGCAGAGAAATTTATAGCGAGGACATTTTAAGGCCACCAGCAGCTTGGAAACGGTTTTTAATTTCTGGCTGGTGAAATGGAATGCACCCAAATCCCTTAAAAACAAACACTGAAGACAGGTCAATTTATTATTATATTATTATATATATAAAATCCATTTGCTGTCCCTTCAATGGAAGAGGTCCCCTTCAGAGAACTGAGAAGTGCATTTGGATCAGGACTTCAGGACTGCCTCCAGCCCCACCTGTATGGTTTGACACAAATTTGGGAAGCACAATTTAGGTCTGCATTTCAGTCAAAGCTGTTGCAGCACAATCTTCATCAGACCTGGGAAGAGCTGCAGCTCTTCTTCATTGAAAAAAAAATACAATCAAGTTTGAAACCAATCTTTGCAAGCATTCTTTTTTCCTTTGGACTTTCACAGCCTCATGCATTGGCAGGGAATGGAAGTGATGCAGTACCAGGTCCTTCATGCATTGAAACATCCCAACAAATACAACTGCAAAATGAGGGCTCAGAGAGTTTTCTTCTGCTTACAGTTTATATTGGTATTAATACAGCTCCATAGTAGAAAAGCATTATTAAATTGTCATCAAAACCAAACTAAGCTAGCAACTTGCCAAGAAAAGCTTTCAGGATGAATCAAAGGAAAGTACACATTATACAAAATGGAAAAGTTGCCAACTCCTTCCTCAGAAACATAAGGCTCTTCTGCTATGAGCGCTTTCTCGAGAAATTTGGGAACTCCCTACGGTAATTTTATTGAACATACTGAACACACAACAATGAAAAGGCAAAATCTTGCCTTCATAATGTAGTACTGTGATACTTTGTGAAGGTTTTTTGTTTGCTTGCTTTGGTAAGCACTTCCGTGTTCTTTTCTGCACTGATTCTAAGCTTTAGGATGAATCTATAAGCAGTAGTTGTCACTGCACGCACAGAATATGGCTGTTATCCAGGTAATCTGTACAGCCCTACCATCAAGAATTCAAATTGACACTGGATTTCAATAGCTCTGCTTATTACACAGCCTGAGATACGAAATGCAAACTGCTAACAACCACTTTCATGTTGTAAACACAGGCAACCTGCATGGAGTGGCATTCAAAGCGCTCCGCAGAACGTCTCTTCCATTATTCATTAGTGATACAGCCAATAGATGTGGGGTCACGGGAACGTTGCCTTAGTGAATGGTTATCTGAGGACCTGACTTCCACCATGTATGTGCCTGTCAAACAATTCGAAGCACCTTTTCAAGCTAAATTGTGCCTTGATTTTGTATTTACAAACAAGACTTGTTGGAAATTTGTTGCCTTTCAAACATATATCCTTAAACATCATTTTTGTTAGCACGTCTGTTGCTAAGAAGGACACAAATCACAGCTCCTAATGGTGCTGAATAAGGAGATCTTTATAGTTCTGTTTAATATATGACATAAGTGTCATTTATGAATATAATGTACTGACAGAGGGAAAAGATATGTATATATAATGTGTTTTCAAGAGCCAGTATGTTGTGACTATGATATCTTATTATCCTCTATACACAAAATTGCTTCTTCTAGTCACAGCACAGAAAGTCAGAGGTCAAAGAAAAATAGAACTGAAACTACTGCTGAAACGGAATCCTTGCATGGAGGAAACCAGCTATTTAAGTCTCTTTAATAGAAGGAAATGATAAAACATTCAGAACATTCTAAAGGCTAACAAATAAGAGAGAAGTTTCTTCATCAGTATTTCATCCTATTTTCTGTTCCAAGCCCATGCTTTAATTTTGGTAAATTTAAGAATACCAAACATCAAATTATTCTTTTGCGAGCAAGTCTGAAAATGAACATAGAAAGCTGAGAGGCCAGGTGATAACAGCTCTCACCTTGTTCCCTGTATCAACATGGGCTTCTCATGTCCACAGTTTACACTTTAACTGTAATCCATATTAGTAATAATAATTATTTTGCCACCACCACTTAATTACTTGTATTATTAGCTGCAATTATCACTTCTTAATTGTTAATGCAGTGCAACATTTTCAAATATTAAATATGCATTTAGTGCATAACTGAGGAAATAACACTGCTTTCTGTCAGAGCTGCTCAGCAGAGGTAAACCACTGAGCCAGAGGTAAGATCCTGCAGATTTTTTTTTCAAATATCTCCTTTTAATCAATGTAAACTTTAAATAATTCCCAAAGTGTTGCTGGCAGTCATATTTCATAGTAAACACGGGGAGCCAAGCCAGGATATGACAGATGAACTGCCAAATAATGGCTGCTATTTGCAAGAGAATTGAACTTTGCACTAAACCTGGCGTAGATTAATTGTGAAACTCCAAAGGGAAAACCCACTTCTGTTTCCAAAACCCATCAAAATTAAGAAAGTGGCAATTGGAAAAGCATTGCCACTGCATTTGTTCAGCAGCGATGAATGACAGGCTGTATTAAAACTGAAAAGTGAATGTTTTGCTTTTCTTAGGACAATTCCAAATTTCTGTAAGGAGAGCAGGACGCAGTGTGTTATAATTAAATTGGAAAGGACTGGCCTCAAAGCTAAGACACGCTTCTGGAGAGGCGGGCACCCACGGCAATGTGGTGCACACAGAGGGATGCCTTGAGAAAGGAACCCCAAAATTCGAGCAGGAACTCAGAAACTGGTCCATGCCCCAATATGTGTGCAGAAGAACCCTTCCAGCCCTGCCCTGGCTCAGAGCTGCTGCTCCAGCTTCAGCAGAAGGAAGCAGAATTGCACGGCCGTGTCTTACTGCGTGCCCTACTGCAGCAGTGCCACCACTTGGCCTGAAACCACTCCGTCCTTTTTCGGGATCAAAGATGGGAGTGGGAAATAATTGAAAGCACGCAGCTAACCAGCTGCAAATGTCAAACTGTGCTTCGGCACGTTACAAAACAGCTTATGAGCACGATACCGACAAATTCCTTTTAAAATCTCCCTTTTGATCAGCAATTTGTTCCCACTGATAGCACACTGAACTCACTGTAATTCTGTAGGCATTAAATCATTGCTTTGCTTTTCAGTATAAAACATACAAAAAGCCTCACGTGAGGCTGCGGCCGTGGGCATTTTATAGACAAAGCAGCGTTGTATTATGACTTACTGATGTCCTTTCACAGTAGAAGACTCCAAAGTTTCACTATGTCACTAGAACTATGTGTTCAAGACCAACTCTGATGCTGATTCTGTGGCTCTGCGCTGCTACACCCCTACTGTCATAATTGAGCATCTTCTGGGTGACATGGATTTTTCAGAAGGAATTTGAATCAAAGTCACACAGGCTAAAAAAGATAAAATCCTGAATGCCAGTGGCATAAATGGAGGCTCTACTAAGGACAGAAGGGGAGATGTATTAAGGATACGCACTGGAAACACGGGCTGCTCTACACACGGTGAGCTCAGACATCTCCTGCTGGAGCAGGAACACCAAATCCTGCATCCTTCCTCATTCCCCCAGGAAGCAACACGGCTCCAATGGGCTGAGCCCACCCTGATCTGCACCACTCCTGTTTCACTTAAAAGAGCTCCAAGTTCCCCAAGCCATTACCAAGTTAATAAAACATATCTGAGAAGGTGGTGTGTTTCGTCTGAGTAGAAACAAATCCCACGCTCATCCCACACCACCCTTGGGCAAACTTGTGTTTCATTTGAGAACGTTTTCAGATTCCATTTTTCAGACTGTTACTGAAGACCACTTTTACTTCTTATTAATACGAAAAGATTCCAGAAGGTGGGCTAAGAAGGAAAATTGTATTTAGTCAATACTGACAGTTACTAACCAACCATTTCCACCTCCATACTTTTATAGAAGAAAGCTTCCCCACTGTTCAAACATGACTGAAAGGCAGATTTTTCAGTGCTCTCTTGGAATTTACACTAAATTATTACTTTTAATTAAAAGATACAACTGGTCATCAAATCAACTGATTTTGATGGCTGCCTTTTGTTCCTATTCTTCTGGCATGGAAATGTTTTAGGATGGACTAGAGATGCTGGTGATGTGGATTCAAAAGGAGTACTGGGAAGACAGTGGCACAGCTGTATATGCATCAAAAGTCATTTAGTATTTATTCATTTTACTCATGCACTTGACATTGGTCATATACCCTTTTAAACACCAGGTACACCTTCACACTTTGATCACTTCTCACAATGCAGAGTTTCACGTTGATCAGATGGGGGAAGTAATTTAAACAAATTCCCTTGCTGAATTGTTTAATATTAGAATTAACAATGCAGTTTCTGTGCTTTCCAATGGTGCTGAGATGCAGTTAGGTGGAGTGCCTCATTAATGTGATAAAGGACTTAGCACAAAGCAGGGATGTTGATGTCATTTGACTGTGGGACATCAGGTTGCATGCCAACTACACTAATGCATTTATGTACAATATCTTCTCATCAGGTTTTAAA